TACAAAGGGAAGATGAGAGAGAGAGAGAGATGAAAAAAGAAAGAGGATAAGAAAGATAATGATGAAGAAGATGATTCGGATGAAGAGAAAAAATTGTTGAAAGAAACAAGAAGAGATTAGGATGAGGAAAGAAAGAGAAGATGAAGACAAGAAAAGGGATCATCACTTGGATAAAAGATGATCGCCTGGAAGAGACATTTGAACATCTCTTTCGTATTTCTCTGTCTTTTTTTCTTTCTTAAACTCAAGTATCTTGAAAATGATGATGATAATGATGAGAAAAAAAGAGATGAAAATAAAAGTAGACTGTAAGGTAATGTCCAGTGAAAGAGAGAGAGAGAGACTGAACCATAAATCTCAATTTTTGGTTGACAAAAAAAAAGTTCACTTTTTTATCCAGGTCAATATCATCATTATCGGAATGGTGTTCACACCATTGGAGAAAGTGAATGAGAGAGAGAGAGAGAGAGAGAAGATGATAAAAGAATAAAATAAAAAGTATTGCCCACGACAAGATGAAGATCGATAAGAGATGATGATACATAGAGAAGATGGGATGAAGATGATGATGCAGAAAAAAATAGTAAAAAAGACTTGAACAAATCGGTTGACTTGGAATTGATTGAAAAAGACCTTAAGTTAATACAGATTCATTGGTAAAGAGAGAAAGTGAGTGAGAGAGAGAGAGAGAGAGAGAGAGAGGAATATAAAAATGAGAGAAAAAAGTTTTTCTGGTCAAGATGAGGATGGAACAAAAGAGAGAAGAGTAAGAGGATGGAGATAAGGGGGTGAGTCATGTAGAAAAGGATGAGGATGAAATTTTCTCAATTTTATCGAGACGTTTCTTGATTTTTTCTACTTCATCTCATGTATTATAAACAGGGAAGAAAACAACTTGTACATTATCTTGTTTAGACTTTTCCATAGGAAGAGGACTTTTCATCTTTTTTTCCATTTCATTCTCATCATTTTTATCATCATTTTCTCCCTTGTTTAAAAAACACTTTTCCCAACAAACTCATTTCACATTCAGTTTTTCACTTGATTCAATTCAATTTGCTTCTTACTTCCCAGCTCCATCGTTCCTCATCTCTTGGCATCATCCTTATACTCAACATCTTCATCATCTTCATCCTCAATCTTCAGGGTTGTTGTCATTCAATGAAGAAGATAGAAAACCTGATAATAAATATATTATGTATATACTATCAACTGAATCATGATGATGAATTTGATGATGTGTATATACACTTGAAGAGAGAGAGAGAGAGAGAGAGAGAGAGAGAGAGAGAGAGAGAGAGAGAGAGAGAGAGAGAGATTTATACAGAAAATTATATTTTCCACTTTTCATCTACATTCATATATTTTATATCATAGATGATAAATTCAAGTGATGAGGATAAACCAATCAACCTATTGGATTTTTAAAAACTAAGTCAAAAGGTAGTAAAGTTGATGCAATTATTAATTTTTAAAAAGCATCATTTCAACATCATCATTCATGTAACTGTTTTCATGTTTCTGTTCAATATATTACATTTCCAATCATCATCAACATAATGATTTATATATAATTTCAATCATCATTATCATCATCACTTTCAATCAAACAGACAAAGTTTTACCTGAACAATTACATTATTATTATTATCATCATCATGATAATTGTTATCGTATTTTGAGTAAACATTTACTGGTCAATCTTTTATAATATCAACCTATTCATGGTCAAGACTTAAGCTATCAATTAACTAACTATAAAAGGATGATGATGACAAGGGAAAAGTTGAGGATGATGATGATGGTCTGAAGACTATGAGTTATATGTATTTTCTGCTGCATTGTAACCCATTTAGCTCAATCTTCTGGTCAACCCCACCACCACCATCACCACCTCAACCTCCATCTCCTCCTCTTCCCCAAGCACAATTAAGTAAAAGGAAAAGTATTAAACCAATAGAGACAATTGATTGAAAGGAAAAAAGTTAGATGGATGATGAAGATAATGATGATAATGATGATGAAAGAGTGTAAAAGGATAAACTCTTGGAAGCGTAACACAAACAATAAATAGATTGACCATTAACACTATTTTCAATATAAATAGTTGGATACTCTTGATTGGCCCTATGGAGTTAAAGTTGATTGGAGAAACTTATTTCATATGATTACCAATGGTTGTTAGTTTTCATCTGTTTATACTTATTGTTGTTATTGATCAACTATCGTAACCTAATTGTGTTATCCTGTAAATTGTAACAATTAAATTAAAGGGTTGACCAAGTTTGACCGACAGTTCAACAGGAAGAGAGAGAGAGAGAGAGAGAGAGTGAGCATTTTAATACATAGTGAGAGCAATATGATGATAATAATAACAACAGTTAATTGACAGGAGGATGAAAACCAAACAACAATTAAAAATTTACTCATTATCCTCAAGAGTAAATTAAACAGCTGATATACAAAGTTATCAATGGTTAATTGTAACTATAACGTAAATGATTAATTTAATTGTTAGCAAACCTTAGACCAAAAAGAAAACATAAAAACACATTATAAATTAATCTAATCATCATCATCATGATTATGGACACTATGAAACATTTGCATTAAGTTAATTAATTTAATTAGTTTAGATACAACATTCTAAGTGTGTGTGTATCTCACTAATGAGTTACTATGAAAGTTGATTGTTGTTAATCAAGTAAAAACAAACTAAAAGCTAATCCAAATCATTTAATGTATCATAATAATAATTCAATGTTAATTTCTGTAGATTAGTAAATTAATAAACATACAAGAAACGGAAGAGGAAAAAGTAACATCTTCTTAATGAAGCAAATTTACTTATGATGATGATGATGATGATGAGCAAGATGAAGATGATTATGATGATAAGTTATTAAGGAAAGTGAAAACGATTGAAGACAAAAAGATGATGACAAAAAAGAGATTTGTAAATTACTTGTGTGAGTGAGCAAAATGATGTTACTTAAAATAATAATAATCGTACAGAAAAGTTGATAGAAAAAAAAAGTTTTTCTCTTATGTAATGATAATTTCTCGTCTTGTAGGATAAATGGATTCACTAAATGAGTGAGATATGAATACGACATAAATATACAATTTACTGCTAAACTCACTCATCATCATAATCATCTTCATCTTCATCTTCATCATTAACATTAATTTGCATGTTCAATTCTATGGGTGAGATATTAAACACTATATGTTTGTATACAAAAATCTATGGGTTTGTTGTATGAATATGAATGTGAGGATGTGTCTTTGTTGATTTTAGGTGAACCAAGAAGATGAGGATGAGAAGTGGAATGTTTTTTTTCTTCATCATCCTCATCATCTAATTTAGTTGAATTACTTTTATATGTTTCCCTTTCTTTTCATCTTTCATTTACTTTTTTTCTTCTTCTCATCATCTTCTTCCTCTTACTTTGCTTTCTGTATCATTTCCTTTTCTTTTTTATCTTCTTCTTCTCAGTTCCTTTTGTTTTCATACATATACAGATACTTTCTTTATCTAGTGAAAGAGATGATGATGATGATTATGATGATTATGGTGATTATTATGATGAGGATGATGCATTTGAAGACAAATTTCAAATGTACATACATATAAATGCATTAATACATTGATAGAGACCTTAATTAGCTGCTAACTATCAACTGTTTTTTTTGCGACTTAACCTCATCTTCTTAAGGATGATAAAACTTGATGACTATGATGATTTATCCGAAAAGTGATAAAAGAGTATGATATTGATAAATAGAGCGACTTTCTAATTACTTTGCATGCAAACTCATCATCACCTTCTCATTTTCATCATCTGGAAAGTTACACTCTCTTTCTCATCCTTCTTTTACTTGCGACTCAATTAGAGATGATGATGATAAGGATGAGGATGAGGGAGAAAGAAGCATCCGTCATCTCTCAGTGGATTGCTTTTCATCTTTGTGAACAAATTCCTTCTTCTTTTTATCTCTAACCCGATTTACCATGTTTTTAGCTTTTCAGCTATTCGCTTATCTTCAATTCCCTCTTATTATATCATCGCACAATGAAATTCATCATCTTACTCTATCTACTCATCTGTCTACATCTTGTTCGAATATCTTTCTCTCTCTCTATCTCTTTCACCCACTCTCTTCATCATTTCCATTTCCATCTACATCTTCATCCTTCTCTCTCTCTCTCTCTCCCCATGTGAGTTAATCCCCAAAACAAGAAATAAAGTTTTTTCATTGTAATCCTAATTTTCGGGCTCAAGGTTGATCCTATTTGTCTCTCATCTATTTTTTGTTGGACGAATTGATATCTTCTATTACTAGAAACCTTTTTCATCATCATCTTTATCCTCTCTCTCCCTCTAGAAAAGAAATGAATGAAAGATGATGAAGCTAAAGAGCAAGAGAGACACAGAGAAGAAATAAAGATGGTGAGTAGAAAGAGAAGACGAAAAATTTTGAATACATCATTTAGCAAGAAGAAAAGAGTAAAAGAAGGATAAAGAAAAAGAGGATGATGAGAGATGATGAAAAACGGAAAGAGAAGGGAAAAGAAGATGAGACAGTGATGGAAAAAGATGAAGATGATGAAAACAAAAAATTCTGTAAGAAGACTCGATGACAGAAAGAAAGCGAAAGAGAGAGAGAGAGAGAGAGAGAGAGAGAGAGAGAGAGAGATGACAAAGAAGATGCAAAAAAGATGTTCACCTAATATTTAGGTTTTAACAAGAAGATGAATCCAAGTTCTCAGATGATGAGGAGGTTTAGACATCGAGAGTAGAAAAAATAAAAACAGACAAAAATTTCTATTCTCTTTTCCCTATCATCTATTTTCAATCCATTTCTGATTTACTCATCCGGAAGATAATCATGAGAGAAATACATATAAATTATTGTTCTGTTTTCTTCAAGTTGTAATGATAATTCCAAGAGAAAGAATAAAAAAAATCATAACAATAAATGTAAATACTACGTACCCATTGACATAAGGTTTACATTCACCATGATCCTTATCCCAACCACAATAAGGATCCCTTATACATCCCAGGCAATTGTCATGACGTTGTTTACACATTGAAAGGTGAAATTGTTTTATCGTAAAATCAGATGAAACATATAATGACTTATATTTGGGAAATATTTCCATGGATCGTACGGGATGTGGGCTGGTTGCTTCAAAAACATCAACCAGGTAAGAATTTACTTCACCTGATCTTGGATCAGTCCATTGGACAAGTTTATAAACTTCACCAGTTGTGGTTCCAGCATAATAAACATAATACTGACCACCACTTGAACCACCATTATTATTTATATTATCAAGTTTATCAACAACTATACGGGTAAAAATAACATCCCGCTTATAGAAAACAGGTTTACCATTGTCATGGGCTACTGTTGAGTCCATTAAAGGATGACCACGGATAAAATTGAGCACAGAGTCAGGCAACGATTGTGTATCATCAGTACAAGCACCAGGCCTGGGTTCGGGTACCTTTGAGGATAAGACAGGTAACCAGGCAGACATTGAATTTGATTGTTCCTTAAATTTACCATTGAAAACCTCTTGAATTGAATCCAATGTAAATGTACAAATGGCTGAGCCGATTAAACCATTAAGAGAGGTTGAAAAAATGGCATAAAATTTACTATTATCATCAGGATGCTTGTAGATGTGTTCTGATTAAATGAAGAAAAAAAAATGATCAAGTAATCATATTTTTTATACGTAATAATATCACCATCATTAGATTTTGTTGTTGTTGATATCATGAAACATTGGAAACAAAAATTCATCGGTTGGTTGGTGAGTCGATGAAAAGTTTATATAAAAAAAAAGGTATCAAGGTGATGATGCGGTAACAACATGAAGATATTTATCATCACCGTCAATATATTTATCAGCAATGAAACAGTATCAGTTTTATATATAAATAATATCCATTGGGACGAAAGTTGAATCCCGTTATATTAACATCCAGTGTTGAAAGATGATGACGAGCAACGATTCCAATGGATGATGAAAGTATGAAAAGAAAAAAAAAGAAAAAAAATGTTAGAAAAGATGAGGATGATGAGGATGATGAAAAGAAAGAGAAAATTGAAGATGAGGATGATAAAAGTTCATGAAATGAGAAAGCGATTTATTTATTGTAAGATTTGCTTAATGATGTATGAGGGAAAAGCTTGGAAAATGTTTAAGATGATGGAGTTAGTGTTATACAGAAAGAGATGAGGATGCTAAAGATGATAGAGAGAAGAGAGTCAAGAAAAAGAGAGCGATATGGTTGAAACAATTAACTTACGAATTTCATTGAAATAAAATGGAAACTCTCCAGGAATCGAACAGTTTAATCGAGCCTTCATAAAAGTGGCCCAGTTTTTATTCAAAATACTTCGACCTCCATTGTCTTTCTGTTAGAACGAAAAAAAGCGAGAGAAATCAATATTTGATTGTAACAGTTAATTTAATTGTATCATTTATCACAATAATAACTTTATACACAACCGTTTTATCATGATAATAAATGTTATCATAATAACAATAATGATTAATTTAATAATCATGATTATATGGAAAAATAATGTTCACTTGTAACTTTTTCTTCAACAATCAAAAAGTAGGTTTGTCATGTAATATATTTAATTTTAAAACTTTTATTGATTGATTTTATTATTATTATTCATCATAATTGTTATCCTCATCATCTTCATCATAATTACATTAACTTTTACTCCACCCGAATAGGTAAGAGCATTTTCCTTGCTGTAAATTGTATTTATTTACATTTAGGATGAAATTTTATAAATTTCAATCTAAACTCCCCCTTGAGTGTGTGTGTTATGTTTTCCTTATGCAATTTAATACACAATCGTATTATTATTGAATGAAATTAGACTTGAAGATGAGGATGAAGATGAAAAATAGGTGAGTGGATGATAAGTAAATTGTAATATAATAATTGACAAGGAACAAGTAGAGTTTTTCAGAAACATAGTAACATTGTGAAGAGAAAAGAATAATTTTCCTCTGTGATAACAATAATATTAAAGACCATGAGAGATGGATGGTAATCAATATAATCAATGTTCTAGGCCCGTTGGCGGGAAGAGTAAAAAAAAAGATATCAAATTATTCCCATTGAAGATTGAGAATCAAGTTAAGTTTATGGGTAAAGTTAATTAAATTAGTGAGTTGAAAAAAAAAGTTGAAAGGAGAAATGATGAACAGCAGATAGTTCAGAAAAAAAAGATGAGGATGAAGATAAGAGATGAAGGGAAAAACTAGTGTTAAATGTTGATTGGGCGAGAAAAAATTAAGATGATAAACAAGAAAACAACAATATCATCATCATTATCACCAGAAATAGCAACACCATCAACAGGGAAAACAGAAGCAACAGTCAACAGAATGCAAAGAGGAGAGAGAGAGATGTAAAGGTAGAAATGATGATGAGGATGATGAAGATGATTGTTGAGCCCGGAGAGCAAATCCTTTCATCCTTTTTTTTCGTTCATCCGAAACATCGTCTTTAGGCTATAATTGAAGATGATGATTGAGTGTAATTCCTCAAGATTGAGTCTTCTCTCTCGATCCTCTTCTTCATCATCATTTTCATCCTCATCATCAGCTTTATCTTCATTTTCTCCTACCTTCTCTATCTCTCTCTCTCACGTTTTTCTTTCTATTACACAGCTTATTGTAAATGACTATATCTTCAAGAAGACAACAACAATAATAATAAATAAATAGTTATGTACATCTTAATCATCATTATCATCATTATTACTTATCTTCCTCTCATCTTAAACCAAGAGATTCCGATGACTCTCTCTCTCTACTTGCCTTCTTGCATTAACTTGATGGATGAGGATGACTATAAGCTTTAGTATTAGATCATCATCATCATGATAATGATGATGACCTGAGTATGTGTGTGTGTATATATGTATGTATCAATATTAATTAACCAAAAATCTATCCTTGACCAGTCACGTGATTAATGAAAAACATATATAAATGACCCAAACCAATAATAATAACCAAAGGAAACCAGAGTTTCCATAATGAAATAAATATTAATAATATGATATAAATATCATTTCCTAGTTCAACATGAACAATATGAAAAAGACATTGAATATTATTATACATATTTAATACTAATAGTCAAGTTTACCTCCCACTTCCTATTTGCAAAAAAAAGGTGAAAAAAAGGTAACGGTAAATGGGGTGGACATTAATGATGTCCTTTTTTCACCTTTGATAATTTGGTATCTCATAGGGGAGCTCAAGGAGAGAGTTAATTTAGATAAATGTTTCGAGACTTTGATGATAATTTTAATGATGATGATGATCAATGTTAGATATTGATTAATGTTATTGGGTACATGAATTACAGGTAACCCATAATAACGGTACATTCAATTTTTTAAATTGAATTGTAATAACAAGAAAGAGAAACAAAAATAACCTGAGAGATAAAAGAAATCATTAAGATTTCTCATTACATGGAAGTACATTGTATCTCTCTATTGAAGAGACACGATAGATAGAGAAAGGGAGAGAGAAATTAGATGATAAAAAAGAAAGATGAGAAAAAAAATCCATCATCAATTTGATGTAACTGTTGTTGATTGGTGATGATGACAAATGATTACAGGTCAAGGGAGAAAGTAAAAAAATGAGTAACCTCTATGTGAGCTCACATTTACTCACACAGAAAACTCAATGAATACTAACACAATTCAAACATATGATAATAGTAATGATTGTAAATATGATAACATTGCTTATCTCATCCTCATCTTCAACCTTTAGCTGGACACACAATCATATGTATGTATCAACACACACACAAACAAGGCCACTCAATTGATTGCGTGACTTTGAAAGTTGACCGGAACTCGGAAAATGTACAAAACGTTTATTTCCGTTCTCAGCCAATATATACACAAGCAAGAAAAAAAGTAACTGTTAACTTACAGATAATATGTTTTTTTCTCATCTTCATCATCTTGCTATTTCTACTTTCTCTCTCACCCACCCTAAATCCACTTTCTCCCTCTCTTTCTCTCTAATGACAATAACAGATTAATGGACTTTCAACGAATCCATAGTCAACATTAATGATGGATGAAAGTAAATGAAAAATATCTGCTGATTCTTTAATCTATCTTTTAATGGTAGAAGAAAAAAAAACCTAAATTTGATAAAAAGCTTTACATTAAATAGGAGATGTATTAGTAAATAAGGAAGAGAAATAAATGAATGAATGAGAGAGAAGAAAAATCTTGGGCAATATGAGATTGATACAATTGAATGAATTGTGTCAATGTAAAGAGTAAATAGAGAAACATAAACAAAATTACTATCCAATCAACGATTGTCAAGGTTGATTAAGGAAACATTAACTAATTTATTGCAATTAATGATCATTTTTGGTATAAAAACTTTCAGTTCTGTCTCTTCCTATTTGATAACATCAATTTGCAATAGATAAAATCAAAAGTAGAGTAAAAATCAAAGTGAATTACAATTACAATCAGAATAGAAATTGAAAATGCAAATTTATGCAATAACATTAATTGCAAAAGGAAAGTAAAGGAAAAAAAATAAAAACAATTGACTAAACAATTAAGATTACAATGATAATGTGAATGTGAGTTTTGGTATAATCATTTCAATGGTAATAATAACAATCAATGGTTAATGGGGTTAGAATCAAAATTGTCAATCTAAATTGTTACTCTTGATTTTTGATACAACCAATCAACTTGGACACAAACAAATATCTACAAACATAAATGGTCAATATTATTTATAAATTGACCATATAAATAAAATTCAGTACATTAAACTATAATATAAATTGTTATAATCATTTGTAATTGTAATTCAGGAAATTATATTAAAATTGCATCTTAATTGTTCAATTAAATTGTTCAAACTAAGGTAAACATTAACTATTACAATGGACTAAATACAATTGAGGTAATCAAACATGTAACCAAGTATATAAAAATGATAATAGAAGCTAATTTATCAATTTGAGCAATTTAAACAAAATTAAAACATTAAATATGATAAACAATGGAGGATGAAGCACAATCAGATTAACCATTATAATGATAAGTATCATATTAGTATTAGCAAAACAAAATGAAAGGAGATCAGGTAAACTCAGGTATATCCACATAGGTAACCAGTTTTCATTGTAACCTTAACCAAAATAATAATAATATAACATATATTAAATAGATATAACCGGTTACTTTGGTAACTCTGTAACCAGCAAAGCAAACCGACCCTCTAATTGAGTGATTCAGCTCACTGTTTTAACCAAAGAGATACCAACCTTTATCATCATCATCATCATTATCATGAGGAGTTAATAATGAAAATAATGATAAAAGACAAGCTTAAAGCAATAGAAAAGTTTGTTTTAATATTAATAGTTACATGTAGTTTGTTGATGTCAGTCAACTTGCTTTGCCATCATTCAAAATGGCGTCTTCCCTTCTCTCTCTCTCTCTCTCTCTCTCTTTAATCATACCTTGTAATAATATTTAATTTACCAAAAGGTATATTATGTAAATGTTATAGTTATTATATAATTAACTTAAGACTAATAATAAACAGTGAAAAAATTAACTAACCATTCAGGTTTTCACACAAACATCAACACAATCAACCCTTTAAATATTATCATCTTATTCACACAAATAATCAAAACATTTACTGTTTACATAGAGAAAAAAAATACTCAAAGAGTAAGTGAGATAATCAAATACTAATCATCACTATCATCATTCAAACCATCATCCTAATCTCCATCCTCATCACCTCTTTCTCTCTCTCTCTCTCTCTCTTTCGGATCATCATTTAACTGTATCATCACATTTACATGGTAATACAAACACAATCAATTTAAATAACAACACAGCAAATGATAGTTTAATCATGTATCCAAAAACTGCTAACTGATTAACTAACTTTGTCAGTTAATCAGCTGATTGATGTATTATTCAATCGTAAATAATGCAAACCTTTTGCTAATCAAGATGATTTAATGTTCAACAATTATTTACTCATGATGAATCTATTGTTTTTTTCCCAACTCACTCTATGCAATGCAATTGATTGCTTCAAGTTAAAGGCAAACCAATTACAATTTAATTCACAATTTAAATAAATCTTACAATTTACACTCATAAAAACCATTAAAATTAACACACAAATATGATAGTCAATTTACACTGATGAAAATAAAGTGGAAAAGATAAACTTTTTTTCATTACTCTTGATATTTTACATCAGGTTAATAAATATTATCATTATTATTTCCTAAGTTTCTGTTTTTGTGATTTATTATTTACATGTTATCAATTCTGTTTCCTGTGTAAAGAAAATG